AAAATCGAATATAAATCTCCAAACTTACATTACATGATACAATAGTTCTTCATGTAACAATACATTAATCCAACAACAAGTAAATAAACAAATAACTACCCCTAAGGGTTTACAAGTTTCTAAGGCTTGAGCCTGATTACACAAAATGGTTATTCAAACCCACACACATATAGCCCTTGGCTTACACAGAGAGTCACTGCAAAAATGAGAGTCTCGTACTCTCAACACACATATCCTCACATTTAGTTAGGCGGCATCACCACATCTTTTCCTGCACAAAAATCCCATAGGGTGAGCATATAACCCAGTAGGAAATTCTTAACAAAGTATATACATTTAATACAAGTCTCAAGAGATGAAATGCACATGCCATGCTATGCCCTTTTGAAAGAAAATCACATCTTCATCTTGAAAACCATCATGCTCAATGATGTCATGCAATTTCAATTTTTCAAAACTTAACAATTCATTTCAAGAGCGGTAAATACGACTCTGGTAATCCCTAGGTCGGTGTCTGCAAGTAGACTATACAAGTGCCACTAATTTGTCATTTTTACCGGTATTAACCGGAAGGCTCGACACCTATCCGCGCGGGTTTTCTGTCTTTCACCCCGGACTCTCAGGCCAACTTATTTAATATCATCTGCACCACCTATCAAGACTTACCAACATATTTACCCCAAAACCATTCTATGAAAACTTGTTTCTCAACATTCTTTTCTCAATGCAAATTTTCAAATCAACTTTCAAAGTTTAATGTAATCAAATGAATTGATATGCTAATAACACAATTCCGTCTTCTCAAGTATCCTCAACAATTAGTCATTTCATGACTATTTCAACATCTTGAACCATAATTTCCAAAATGAACAATAATTCTCATATTCCCTGAAATTTATCATTTATATAAATATAAATAAGAAAATTTCCAAATATCCATTTATTTTGATACACAAAATAAATATAACAATATCATTCATCGATTTTCAATCTCTTAAAAAAAATCCCTAAATTCTAGGTTTTCTCACCAAAACTATACAACTCAAATCTTTTGAAAAAAAACTTTCTAAAATCATTTTTTCTTCAATCAACGAAGATCAAAACCCATAAGATTATTTTAAAAGAACAAGAGACAAACCCACTTTCAAAATCGCTCAACTTCTTGAATCAACAATCAATTTTCAAAGCTATCGAAAAATGATTTCAAAAATCATATAGATCTTGCAAAAACATATATATAACTCTAAGAAAATCCCTACCTCAAGTTTTGAAAAAGAAATGAGATGAACCCCCAAAATCAACGGTGTCGAAGCTCGATGAGATGATAACCAACTTTGGGGAAGAACTTAGAGAAGATGACTTATAGAGAGAGAAGCTCTCGATCTGGAATTTTGGAGAGTTTTAGAGAGAGAGAGGACTGAAGAAGTAATCTGAAATATCAGATTCATGAACTGATATAACATGGTCCGCTTGAGCGTACAAAGCCCCGCTCGAGCGTCAAATACATTAACCTAGTACTTTTGCAGATAGGTTAAACTTCTGAAACCAAACATTCTTCGCACAAGCGCATAAATGACCACTCGAGCGGACAAACAACTTCGAATGCATTTTGCATTTTTGCTTCGAGGGCTCTGCCCCTCGATCTTGCCAGGGCGCTGCCCTCGGACCCACCAAGGGGCGTTGTCCCCTGGACCCCCGCGAGCTGACCGGGCAGCTCGAACCCCGACTGGCCCACACGAAGTGGCAAAACATGAAAGAATGATCGAAACCGGGATCGCTACAATGCATTCTTTAGGACACTTGTTAACGAAATTCATCTTTTATTTGTATGGGTACTTGTTAAAGTTTTTTGTTTTTAAGATTGTTCAAATACTTCTTAGCATAATGTTGACAGCGACCTGTTATAGCTGTGTGACAAAAAAACACACAAGTAACGCCGACCACCACCATTATGTAACGGCCTTTTGCAATGCCTTTACAATGCCTTTGCAGCCATTATGTGTCTGTTTTCAACAGATTCTGTATTTAAAGCCATTTTTTCTTGTCCTTTTTTTAGCTTCTAAAATCACGCAAATTCCACACACGATCGGTGCAAAAAAATTATATCTATATGTTTTCAATTTCCACTTCTCAACTTCTATAAGATTTAAGGTTAGATGAGCTTAGTTCTTTACATTGGTTTTGGGTTAGATTTGTTGAACTGAGCTTGGATATTATGTAATGTAATTTTCCATTAGTATAGTACATTGCGATATGAATTACGTTAGTGACTCTATAACTAATTATATGAAAGAATATACTTCATGAATTGATGAATTATGTTAGTAACTCTATAACTAATTATATGAAGGAATATGTTTCATGAATTGCTTACCATAATAAGGGAGAAGTATCCATAGGTACAAAGTCAATATAATATAGAAAATTAAATACATTAATAAAACGATTATTCTCCGTGTCAATGTAAAACTAGTGTAAATTTTGGCATATAGATTTGATCATGTTTAAAAACTAAATAAAACCCACAAAAACTAGTTTAAAGCTCATTAAATGTGATCATGAAATTAAAAACACATGCCGGTCGACCAACCGGTTGATTTGATGAAGTGTAAAAAAATTAGATTGATATTTTAATCACACTTGATTTGATGAAGTGTGTTAATATTTATTTTTTTATGTCACTTTTCAATTAAATGTGACTATATATATATAGATATATATTTGTAATCACACCTCTAATTAACATGTGATTAAAAATCACTTAAAAAAATTAAAAATATCTCACTTTTATTAAAATAATTTTTTAATTATACTTATTTTAATAAGTGAGATAATATTTTTTTTTAATTACACATTTCAAATAAAAGTCTAAACCCTAACCTTACCGCCCAAGCTTAGATATATATTACAGAGTCTAAACCCTGACCTGACCACCCCAAGCTTATATATTTATACAAAAGTCTAAACCCTAACCTAACCACACCAAGCTTATATATATTCAACAATGATTTAGACCACTAAAAACTACACCACTAATAGCACTAATACATTAGAAATGACAAAAAATAAAATTAAAAATTAAAAACAAGGCATAGAAAGTAGCCGGGGCCCACTACCACATCATTAGTGCTCTCTTTAGTGATCCCTTTTTAGTGCTCTCAAGCATTTTTCATATATATTACAGTGTCTAAACCCTGACCTAACCACCCCAAGCTTATATATTATACAAAAGTCTAAACCCTAACCTAACCACACCAAGCTTATATATATTACAGAGTCTAAACCCTAACCCCTCACTCCCTCTCTCTCCTCTCTTTTATCTCCCCCGCCTCCTTGGTCGTCTCCTCTGGTGGCGCCACCGGCGACACCACTGCCTCCGCTACAACCTCCTCCTCCCTCGCCGCCGTCTTTCTCTTCTCCTATTCTCTTCACTGATCTTCACCGGTCGTCTACTTCGTCTTCTCCACCCTCGTCGTCGGTTCCAAAACCCTAACCCTACAAAGGACTACCGCCGGACTCGTCAGAATGGCGATCTCGAACGGGCTGATTGCGATGAGAAAGATCAGGCAATCTTCTCTGATCAGAACTCTGCACCTGATTCAGCCTTGAGGTACACCCCACTCTCCTCTCATTCTCTGCGCCTCTGTTTTTCACTTTTTTTATTTTCTTCACTTTCCTATCAATGAATTCAAGATTCAGATTTCTTTTTTTGTTTATATTTCCATTTTTTTCCCCTCAGAAATCAAAAGATTGGATCAATATCTCAAATCCAGGTTTAATTTTTTCCTTCTTGTTGATTTCAAATTCTACTGAAGATTTTTTGTTCTTTAATGTTCATTAGTTAACTGTGTCTGTGAAGCCCCAAACTGACATTGAAGGCCTCAACATTGCCGATGATGTTTCTCAGGTGAGTCAGTCAATTCTTTTTTGCTGAAATTCACAAGAGTTGTCAAGTGGGTACTTGTTATTTCTTAGAGTTTTGATTTTGAACTAGCAGGTTTTTCAAATTGATGATGTGTTAATTTAAATTCTGTAGAGCTTCCTTAAAACTCTAAGAAGAATGAGAATAAGGTTTGAATATAAAATAAGATGATGAAAATTTTGTGGAATAACAATAAGAACTAATTGAGTATAAGGTTTGGGTGCTTTCAGAATAAGGTTTTCTGTTTAGGTTGGATATTAGCACAATATGGAATCTTCAATTTAATCTACAGCCATGGGTTCAAGGAAAATGTCCTGTCCAAACAACATGCTATTCCTGTACTAATATAAATATATTCCTTTACTTTTAAGACTTCTCAAAATCATCAATTTGAATTCTCGGAAATAGAGGCAGGAGAATGGGCAGGGCTAAAGCGTTGAGGTCAAGCTTATTTGGTTAGGAGCTTGATATTTAGGGGTGAAAGGTCTTTACTTTTGCTCTCTTTGCGAAGGCAGCCATCACATTGTTTTTAGTTTTAAATAAATGAGAAACCATCAAAGAGAAAATAAGAGCGTGAGGTTAATACAACTGCCCAAACTTAACTAAATTTAGCTGTGAAATTTTAGATGGAGACATTTTAATTTCAGTTCACAAAATTTTGATAATGGAAACACATCCAAAGTAACTGGTAAAGCTTTGGGTGGCATTTCTTTTATCTGTATGTTGGTTTTTGAGTTATGAGATTTCAAATTCTTTGAGTGTTTACACTGGTTTGTTAATTGTCCAGAAATTAAGAAGTTTGTTTGTTATTTTAAACTTGAATTTATTGTGATAAAGAAAGATCTATCTTGTGTGTGGGCAATGTCCCTTGCTTTGTTTAGCAATTTTTAAGGATAAATAATCTTTAATATACTATTGTTCTGCCTCACACTATCCCTGTGAGAGGCTAAAAGAACAAAAAAAAGGGAGTGTGAATCATTTTACTACACAATATGGAACTCTTGTTGCGAACTGAATTACCTAAATCATTTTTCTTGTCTTTTGCTTCTTTATGCAATTGACATGATAAGCTGATGACAAATCAATTATGCTACAATCTGTAGCATAACCAAGGACCCATCATCTGGATTCTTCAGTGTGTCCAAGTTGAGGTTATATTGGAGTTGGTTGCTGTCATATTCGATCCTAGACCAAGTATAAGGAAGGGTATATTACAAGGCAAATGCTTTTAAAACCGAACTGGCTAGGTCGATCCGTCTAGGTTCTGATCTGGATAAACCCTAACCCGTTCTAATTTGAAAACTGGCTTCTTTTTATTCAACCGGCAAAACCTATAGTTAAACTGGCTAACCGCATGAATTGGTGTCGGTTTAAATAAACCGACCGAACCTAAGAGTTTCCAATGCACTTGGTTCAGGCATTGCAAAAATCACTATTATGGGTCTCGAACACAACACCTCATTTATGATTACTTGTTCACTTTACCACTAAACCACCATGGTTAACATAGATTATTTATTATATCCATTGCATTTTCTTTCAAGCACAAGTATAATTAACTATTTAAAAAACAATATATCAATATAAAAGAAAAATAAATGAATGTATCTTTATACTTATCTTATTATTTAAGTAATTTTTAATATATTTGTAGGGTAATTATTATGCACGGTTCAATTTTGGTGGAACTCGACGGTGTGGAACCAGGGACCCTTTTTTGGTTTAACCAATGGTTTAGGTTTCAGAACATTTTTCAGGGTCACTCTATAGGATTGGGGTTGTGGATGAACTGGGGATCACTTATTGAAAACTAAAATTTATTTTGACTAACCCAAATTTGTAAATATATTATAATTACCAAAGGGTCATTCCTGTCACATGGTCAGCTTATCAGAAGCAAATAGTGCCTTTTTTCTTTGTGGATTGAAGTTCATTTTTCCTGTTTACATGCAAATATTGAGCTGTCTTGCTTTCAGCATTTCTTGCTTTTGTTAAAGTTACAGAAACAGTCTTTTCTTTTTGTCATTTATTCTAGTAGGAGATCGGGTGAAGTTGTTTACTGCATGTTTCTCTATTTGAACTGTTGTCTGATGTTTTTTCATTGCCTTGAGCGTTAGTAATAAATTCATTTATCATGATATTTAATGCCTTCTCTTGATTGTTTGAACTATGTAGTTTTGTTTTGTTTTGTTTTATTTTATTTTCCTGGACAGAACTTTGTCCTCTTTGGAGTTGCCTAGGGCTGTTGCTGTTGCAACTGCGCCATCTTCACCTATCTCAAATGGTGGGCCCCCCTCATATGAAAATCAAGTGAGGACTGAAGTAGGTACTTTTGATGGAACTGCCAGGCTTAAGTTCAGGATCCTGCTCAATATATTTCAATTCAACTATTGGAGAAATTATCTCTTGTGACAACATTTGCTCGGGAAACAACTTCACAACTTTTCCGAGATAGTAATAGTGATGTTTTTGGTGCTAATGAGAGGAGGAACCATGACCAGACTCCCCATCCTTACCCTAGTATTGTTGCATCCAATGATGTGGAAGAGGTTCCCAATGAAATTCCTATAGCCTCAGATCCCTTGGAGGTAACCTTGAATTTCTTTCACTTCCTTTTTTTTTTTTTTTTTTTTTGGGTGTGTAAATATTTGTGTTTCAGGGAAATTTATTGTGATTTACACTAGGAAATTCTTGACAATTTTTAGTTTTTTATCTTGTCATTTTTTTTTGTTTTGAAATGTTACTTGTGTTTTAGTACAAGCTGGAAAGGGTGCATTTACTAGATCACATATATAAATGCTTAGTATCAGTAAATTTTTTCATCTTTGCTATTCTTTTGAGTTATGTCTGAGTTCAAATATTATGCCGTATATGCACTTCAGCTACATAATCTACTGGCTGATGCTATTGGTTGGTATATGGCATCTCTGTCCTTGTCATTAGCCTTTTGCTGTTTGTAGTCTTTGGATTATTATAGTATTGTTGGTGACTTCACTGGCTGCCAGTTCAGTTGGTATTTTTGATAACCTAAGAGTTGAAATTACGATTTTCTTTATATTGTTATTTCAACTTTTTTTTTTGCCTCTTATTATTATTTTATTTTTATTATTATTTTTTTTGGGATAAATCAAAGAAAGTGACTTGAAGGTTGGACTTACTTGTGATAAAGAGTCGGTGTGATGAGAAAAGATCCGATTTTATCTTTTGTAAGACTAGAATAATCTCTAGAAATAGTTAGTTTATTCATATACTTCTAACGGTTTCTAAATTAATTTGTGTTTTCATTTTTCAAGTTAAAAATTTCTTAGAGATGCAAAATATGGTCAGAATTCGAAACTTAGTTTTTCAAGTTTTTTCAATTTTTAATTTATGTAAGCACAGTTAAAAACTTTTTATTTAATTCCTTTGTATATACTTTTGAACATATTTAACTTTCATTTATGAAATATATGACGTTATTCCATTTAATATGTGGTTGTGATTCAAATTATAGTATATAGTGTGTATTACATCTTTCAAATGCACGTATAAAAATAATATTGATTATTTTTCAAATATGTTGAACCTTTTTTTTATCACATGCATTAATTGTGATAAGAAATGCATATAATGTATGATATCTTATTATTAATCACAAGTTTTATTAGATATTAATCACACTTAAAATTTGTGATCTAAATGTTTATTATCACAAGTTTTATTAGTTATTAATCACACTTAAAAGATGTGATCTAAATGCTATTAATCACACTTAAAAGATGTGATCTAAACATTTATTATCACAGGTTTTATTAGTTATTTATCATATTTAAAAGATGTGATCTAAATGTTATTAATTACACTTAAAAGATGTGATCTAAATGTTATTAATCACACTTAAAATATTTTTAATCACTCTCCCAAAGATCACATTTTGACAAAACTTAAATAGTGTGATTAAATAGCATACATGGCCGCCACCTTTAAAAGAGATGAATGAGCTAAAAAAATGGTTGAAATTGTGTTTCATTGATCTAAAAACGGTGAGGAAGCTTAAATGATTCTTGAAAAATAATGATTATAGTACTTACTTTTTCATAATATACTTCACAAATATATATATATATATAGGAAATTAAAATTACTTTTTGTTGACTGCACAAGAGCACTAGCAGGGGCCTTCATTTTGTTCTTTCATTTTAATTGGATGTTCATGGCGCAGGGATGGGAAGTCACGGCCAATGAAAAGTCCTTTCAATACCCTAAGAAGGTATTCTGTCAAATTGTCTTCTCATCAGCGGACTATTCTGCGAACTAAATAATTGAGACACATGATAGTGCGCTCTCTTATAGCTTCAGCTAAGCGGATATGAAGGAAAGAAACTAGCTAGCTAATAACTCCCAACTGGCTACATCTTTAGGAGAGGGAGGCCCTTATCTCATGCCTAAGTCAGGAATGGAGGGACGGTTAAGAATTTGAGCTACAAGCACGATTAAAGTCACTCTGCTTCTTCCCTATTCCTTCTCGCTACCTAGGAAAGAGATTCTATTAGTTAGGCTAGCTTGTTAAAAACGTCTATAGGTTTAAGAATTCCTTAAGAGCTAAGAGGGAAGGTCCTCCGCTTAGAGTTATATAAAGGGAGGAGAGTGCGGCTACCCTTACTCGAGACCCTTTAACCCTCTTACTTTTTAATTAATAGGGGAAAATGCGCTCACAAAGGAGGACATAGGCTGGTTCACGCTCAAGTGAACCGGGCCTCTTATTCGTATTATTGATCAAGCTTTCTTTCCGCTCAGTCATAGATAGAAGATCGGTAGCCAGAAGGACAGTGGAGAATTCTTCAACCAAAAAGAAAAAAAGGGCTCTCTCAAGGTGTACCTATGAATCCAATCAACTATTTGCACTGAACCTTTACTTAGAAGGGGTTGTTGATCCTAGTTTTTTGAATGTAAGTAGGTCTTCAATCCCCTCTACTAAGTAAGGGGTCTTCTTCTCTTCTGTCCGAGTAATGCAGTAGCGTGTAAGGCCCGCTTGTTGTCCCCTTCAAATAAGCTCTTTCGAAAGCGATCTACGCGAAGCGAAAGCGAGTTTGCCCTACTTGATTAAGGATAGGAGTGGAAGTGAATCAGTCTAAGATTTTCCTTTCTCGTTTCGGAAGGTTAAAGAAGGGAAAGCCCCTTCGGAATTTGACCATGAGTTCATAGCTTAGGATAAGAAGGAACCCATCCCTGTCTTTCATTAAAGCAATGGTCTACGACTCCGCTGCTTGCTTAGGATAGGAGAGCTCATTTGTTATTTTTGTTTTACCGTTAAGAGAAGGATCACAAGCCCTAGTCCCAAGCTAAACTATTTATTCATCTGCATCGGAAAGGGATTCATGAGCACAGCTAATGAAAAGTCCCTTCAATACCCTCCAGCACTAGACCATTTCTATACGCTATACAGCCAATTTAAGCAACATCCGAACAATGTTAAATTAATGAGGTTAGAATATAATATTATCTATTATACTTTATTTTCATTTGTTTAGTGATTTATTATTTTCTTATTAATATAATTATAATTTTTTTATAGGAAACATTTTTTTTTTATTGGGCTACATTGTTTTTCAACTGGAAAGATAAGGTAAAGTGGTTCAATCTCGTAAAAAAAACTTCAAAGCAAAACTCAATATTTTGAAGCCACGTTAATATATGATGGAGGGAGGGAAGAATAGCAAAAGAAAGTAGGGCAAAAGAGGGGAAGGAAGCCTAAATGGGAAAAACATATATTCGATGCCTAAAATGCTAAGTTGAGATGATAAGGTAAATGTCCCTGATAAAAAAGATCAGGTTTATTTTTTGTGCACATGGGGATGTTAGAGCTATGGTGAATCGGGAGGCATTTATTGGATCTGTAGAAATGCCTTGCACCATTACGGTGAATATGTAATGTCATAGTATTTTGTATTTTTGTTTTTATTTATATATTATTTTTTATTATTTATGTAGCATGTTAAATTCTTTTAATAGGTTTTTTTGGAATAATTCTTTTAATAGGTTGAACCAGGTGAAAAGGAGGCCGATCAAGTAGTTATGGAGGATTTTTTGCTTTTATTTCCGAAAACTATAACTTGTATATTTGACAAGCTAATAAAAATTTTTCATTTCACGAATTTAATTTTTTCGTGAGTGTTACTAATTTTGTATTCACAGAAAAATTGAATTCGTGGGATGAAAGGCTTTTATTAGCCTGTCAAGTATGCAGGGTATAATCTCTGGGAATAAACGCAGAATATCCTCCATAGCTACTTGATCCGTCTCCTTTTTACCTGGTTCAACCTATTAAAAGAATTATTCCAAAAAACCTATTAAAAGAATTTAACATGTTACATAAATAATAAAAAATAATATATAAATAAAACAAAAATATAAAATACTATGGCATTACATATTGATCGTAATGGTGTAAGGCATTTCTACAAATCCAATAAATGCCTCTCGATTTACCATAGTTCCGACATCCCCATGTGCACAAAAAGAAGTCTTAACATGGTTTTTTTTATCTAGGGCTTTTACCTTATCATCTCAACCTAGCATTTTTGGCGTGGAATATACTTTTTCCCATTCAGGCTTTCTTCTCCTCCTTTGTCCTACTTTCTTTTGCTATCCTTTCCTTTCTCCATCATACATTAACGTGGCTTTAAAATATTAAAGTTTGCTTTGAATTTTTTTTTACGGGATTGAACCGCTTTACCTTATCTCTCCAGTTGAAAAACAAGGCAGCCCAATAAAGAAAAATAGCATATTTCCTATAAAAAAAATTATAACTATATTAATAAAAAATAATAAATCACTAAACAAATGAAAATAAAGTATAATAGATAATATTATATTCTAACTTCATTAATTTAACATTGTTCGCATGTTGCTTAAATTGGCTGTATAGCGTATAGAAATGACCCAGTGCAAGAGGGTATTGAAGGGACTTTTCATTGGCTGCGATTTCCTATAAAAAAAAATTATAACTATATTAATAAAAAATAATAAATCACTAAACAAATGAAAATAAAGTATAATAGATAATATTATATTCTAACCTCATTAATTTAGCATTGTTCGCATGTTGCTTAAATTGGCTCTATAGCGTATAGAAATGACCCAGTGCAAGAGGGTATTGAATGGATTTTTCATTGGCTGCGTTCATGAATCCCTTTTTGGTGCAGATGAATAAATAGTTTAGTTTAGGACTAGGACTTGTGATCCTTCTCTTAACGGTAGAACAAAAATAACAAAGGAGCTCTCATATCATAAGCAAGCAACGGAGTCGTAGACCATTGCTTTAATGAAAGACTGAGTGGGTTCCTTTTGATCCTAAGCTGTGAACTTAGGCCCCGTTTGTTTGGGGTTATAGGGAGGGGATTGGGTTTGATAGTGAGGAGGGGATTGAGAATGGGGTGTTTGTTTTGAGAGATAGGGAGGAGACTAGTAATCCCTTGGGACTAGTAAGGAAGAGGAAGGGGGATTGATAAAGAGGAGGTAGAGATGGTATTAGAAAAATAGTGAGGGGATTAGAAATTTTTTTATTTTTTTATTTTTTATATATTGGGAATTTTTTTTAAAATATTAATGTTTAATTTTTATATTTTTTATTTGTTTTATTATTTTATATAAAAATAATTTAACAATTCCTCACTATTAATCCCCTCACTATCAATCCCCTCACTATCAATCCTCTCCATTCTATCTCCCAAAACAAACGGGGCCTCATGGTCAAATTCCGAGGGGGGCTTTCCTTTCTTTAACCTTCCGAAGCGAGAAAGGAAAATCTTAGACTGATTCGCTTCCTCTCCTAGATTGAACTAGGGGTGCAACTCGGGCGGGTTCGGGCTGATTGGAAGGTTGTCTAAGTCTAGCTCAAGTTGTGCTGAGATCTGCCCAGGCTTGAATTGTAACCCGAGGTAAGCCTGACCTGAGTTAAGCCCGAATTGCCCGAATTGTAAATGAATTTCAGTTTTTTTTTTTGCAGCTACATTATTAAATTATTAAAATTTGACTCTTATAGTTTTTTTATTTTATTTTATAGAAAATCATTAATACCATCAAAACAAATAATTTATATAATGTAAGAGAGATGTCGCTATAGAAGTCCTTATAATTTATGAGTGAAAATAAAAAAAAATAAGATTTTATGTTATTTGTATATATAATAATATATATTCAATATGATTTAATAATCTAAATTACTTTAATATCATGTAATGGCTAATAATTTGTATGTATATTTAATATTTTTATATATCTATATATGTATAATTCGGGTTTCGGGTTGTTTGAAATTTTTGCCGAAGCCCGTCCAAATTTAATTCGGACTTCTGAATTTTTGCCCAAGCCCGTACCGAATTTGAAAGTATCTTGTCCAAGTCCTAAAAAAATTCGGACTGGGTTTGGGTTGCTCGGGTTGAGCCCGCCCAAGTTACACCCCTCGATTGAACCATTTTACCCTATCTTTCCCGTTGAAAAACAAGGGAGCTCAATAAAGAAAAATAGCATGTTTCCTGTAAGTAGCAATGCAAGTTCCAAAGCTTCGTTTAAGGAAATATATTTATTTTTATGTGTTTTTGTTAATAAGTGCATTTGTTAAGAATTTATTTATTAACTTAATTACTCTACTATTATAAAGATTGAGAAAAGTAATAAATGTCTTTTAAAACAAAACTTTTGTTGGTATTGTGACTTAAATACCCTCACTTCCTTTTTATTTTTTAAATCTTTTTGCAGCTACCATTTCAAACTCTTTCATTTCTCATCCGCTCATTATCTTTGTACTTCACATTTATTTTGTTTTTATCATTGAGAACATTGTTAGTCAAAAAGAATCCCGATCAATCTAATGATTCCACATTTATTTTGTTTTAATTTTTTTACAAAAACTATACCATAATATATCATTATTATTTTTGTTAGATTGACTTTAAAATAAATATATTATTATTTTTGCTTTGAGAATTGTTGTACGAGATAGAACCACTTTATCCTATCTTTCCACTTGAAAAACAAGGGAGTCCAACAAAGAAAAGTAGCATCTTTCCTGTAAGAAGCAATGCAAGTTCTAAAGTTTTGTTTCAGGTAATATATTTATTTTTGTGTTGTTAATAAGTGCATTTGTTAAGAACTTATTTATTAACTTTTAATTACCCCACTATTATAAAGATTGAGAAAAGTAATAAATGTCTTTTAAAACACAACTTTTTGTTGGTATTGTGACTTAAATACCATCACTTCCTTTCTTTTTCTTGTTTTTTATTTTTTTTTTTTGGCCTTTTTTCTTTTTACAGCCACCTTTTGAAATCATTTCTCACCCGTTCATTATCTTCGTACTTCACATTTATTTTGTTTTTAGCATTGAGAACATTGTTAGACAAAAAGAATACCAATCAAAGTGTCGTAATTGAAAAAATAATAAGTTGTTTTAGCCTTTAAATCTTATTTTGCAGAAGTATTTATTTAGTTAAATAGAGTTACTTAAGAGATTCAAAGTGTCATAGCATCCCTTAGTGAAAATAACATGAAAGTAACTAATGATCATTAAACAGGTTATTTGTATCAATTTCATGTTATGTAAGTTTGACCCGTTTAATATTTATGTTATCGGGTCATGTCATTTTTTATTTGTATTAAACAATAGTAAACCCTAACTAGGCTAATTTCATATACGATTCAAATCATGATATTGTTTTGTGTCGAAAATTTTCACCCTCAGTTCTAGTGGTAAGTAGAGGCCATATTTTGTAGCAAAAGGTGGGCTTAGTGATAAGTAGTGATATATCATGTGTTAAATTTTTTTCAATATTAAGTGAACAACAAAATCTTTTTATTTTTATTTTTTATTATTAAAGGTGGGAAGCAATTTTATTTTAATATCTAAGAAAATTTCATTTTTTATTTGATTTTAATCATTACCAACCAATAATTGAATTTTTTTTTTGTATTCACATCTATGGATTAGAAATGTTTTTTTTTTAATTGTAATATACAAAATTTATTTTTTTTATAGAGAAAATATCCATTATAATTGTTTTCAAAAATCTAATTTTATATATGAAAAAAAATATTATTTTAATTATTCATAAAAGTACTACACAATTAATCGTTCTTTAAAATTGGGGTTAAAACTAGGGTATAGATGTCCCATTAGTAAATTAATTGTAAATATTTAAAAATACCGCTTGGTTGCCATTTATGGTTAACTATTTTCTATAAAATAGAGTAAAAATTAGTTGTTAATGCATTCTTAACAAGTGTCTTTAGGACACTTGTTAACAAAATCCATTTTTTATTTGTATGGGTATTTTGTTAAAGTTTTTTGCTTTTGAGATTGTTCAAATACTTCTTAGCATAATCTGTATATATTAAACTATATGTCTTTGTTTTTTTTTTAGTTTGTGTATCATTTGTTGGTGTCTACTACATAATTTCATTTAAGTTGTTTGCTGGGGAAGGTGTTTTCTGTTATGGGTCATCTTTGAATCTTCCTAATTTGGGGTTAAATTTGGTTTCCATGAGGTTTTGAGGAGACCCTTCATGAATCTAGAAATTGGGTTTTATCAGAATCGTGTTAAGGTGAGATGGGTAATCCTTTAATTTGTGTTTTTTGAGAAATAGGTTTGCTTTTAATCTGTGTTTTGAAACAAACCCATATGTGTTTTTTAATCAAATTGTTTTTGTTTTTTGTTTTTTTTTGTTGTTGCAGAAAGAATCTTGGAGGACAGTATTGATTTTGGCTTATCAGAGCCTTGGAGTTGTCTATGAATTTTGTCTAATATAATCTGATGAGGGTGTGCACATTTTTTTACTAAATGGGTATATTTGGAATGTGGGGTGTATGGATTAAGATAAATACCTAAAAATTAAATTGCTAAGTGTGTGGAGTGAGAAATGATGTACACAGAGATAATGTGGTGTGCGAAAATAAAATTTCCCTAATAATTGTCTTTTAAAACACAACTTCTTGTTGGTATTGTGACTTAAATCCCCTCACATCCTTTCTCTCTCTCTCTCTCTCTCTCTCTCTTTTTTCTTCTTCTTTTTACCGTCACCTTTTCAAACTCTTTCATTTCTCACCCGTTCATTATCTTCGTACTTAACATTTATTTTGTTTTTGGTCATCTTTGAATCTTCCTAATTTGGGGTTAAATTTGGTTTCCATGAGGTTTTGAGGAGACCCTTTATGAATCTAGAAATTGGGTTTTATCAGAATCGTGTTAAGGTGAGATGGGTAATCCTTTAATTTGTGTTTTTTGAGAAATAGGTTTGCTTTTAATCTGTGTTTTGAAACAAACCCATATGTGTTTTTTAATCAAATTGTTTTTGTTTTTTGTTTTTTTTTGTTGTTGCAGAAAGAATCTTGGAGGACAGTATTGATTTTGGCTTATCAGAGCCTTGGAGTTGTCTATGAATTTTGTCTAATATAATCTGATGAGGGTGTGCACATTTTTTTATTAAATGGGTATATTTGGAATGTGGGGTGTGTGGATTAAGATAAATACCTAAAAATTAAATTGCTAAGTGTGTGGAGTGAGAAATGATGTACACAGAGATAATGTGGTGTGCGAAAATAAAATTTCCCTAATAATTGTCTTTTAAAACACAACTTCTTGTTGGTATTGTGACTTAAATCCCCTCACATCCTTTCTCTCTCTCTCTCTCTCTCTCTCTCACTTTCTTTTTTTTTCTTCTTCTTTTTATCGTCACCTTTTCAAACTCTTTCATTTCTCACCCGTTCATTATCTTCGTACTTAACATTTATTTTGTTTTTGTCATTGAGAACATTGTTAGACAAAAAAAATAACGATCAATACAATGATTCCATATTTATTTTATTTTATTTTTTCACAAAAACTATACCATAATATCATTATTATTTTGGGGGATGCACCAATAAATTCTAAATTAATAACTTATACACTGTTTAGTCTTAAAAGTTTTCTTATAGACTGAAAGGTCCCATTACAATGTTTCAAACATCAAATTAATGTTTCGAACATTAAATTTTGAACATCAGATTAATGTTTCGAACATTAGATTTCGAACATCAGATTAATGTTTCAAACATTAGATTGATGTGCAAATGGGACTAAATGGAGCATAAGAAAACTTTTAGGACTAAATGGTTCAACTTTTCAGAAACTAGGACTTATGGGTAAATTTTTCTATTATTTTTGTTAGATTGACTTAAAATAAATATATTATTATTTTTTCTTTGAGAATTGTAGTACAAGATTGAACCATTTTATCCTGTCTTTTCACACTAAAAACAAGGGTGCTCGGTAAAGAAAAATAACAGGTTTCTTATAAGAAGTAATGCAAATTCCAAAGCTTTGTTTTAGGTAATATATTTATTTTTATGTGGTGTTGTTAATAAGTGCATTTGTTAAGAATTTATTTATTATCTTAATTATTATAAAGATTGAGAAAAATAATAAATATCTTTTAAAACAAGACTTTTTGTTGATATTGTGACTTAAATACCCTCGCTACCAGTTCAACACTGATCAAAGTGTCGTAATTGAAAAAATAAGAAATTGTTTTAGCATTTAAATCTTATTTTGCATAACTATTTATTTAGTTAAATAGAGTTACAAAAGAGATTCAAAGTGTTATAGCATCTCTTAGTGAAAATAACATGAAAGTAAGTAATGACCATCAAATAGGTTATATGTATTAACTTCATGTTATGTAAGTTTGACCTGTTTAATATTTATGTTATTGGGTCATGTCATGTTTTTATTTGTATTAAACAACAGTAAACCCGAACTGGCTAATTTCATATACGATTCAAATCATGATATTGTGTTGTGTCAAAAATTTTCACCCTCAGTTCTAGTGGTAAGTAGATGGCCATCTTTTGTAGCAAAATGTAAGCTCAGTGATAAGTAGTGACATAGTATGCCTTAAATTATTCTCAATATTAAGTGAACAACAAATTTTTTTTATTTTTATTTTTTATTATTAAAGGTGGGAAGTAGTTTTATTTTAATATCTAAGAAAATTTCATTTTTTATTTGATTTTAATCATTACCAATCAATAATTGATATTTTTTTTTTCTTAGAAATGATTTTTTTAAATTATAACATACAAAATTTATTTTTTTTATAGAGAAAATATCCATTATAATTGTTTTCAAAAATCTCATTTTATATATGAAAAAAATAATTTTTTAATTATTCATAAAAGTACTACACAATTAATCCTTCCTTAAAACAAGGGTTAAAACTGGATGTAGTTGTCCATTATTAAACTAATTGTAAATATTTAAAAATACCGTTTGGTTGCCATTTATGGTCAACTATTTTCTGTAAAACAGAGTAAAAGTTAGTTGTTAATGCATTCTTAACATGTGTCTTTAGGACACTTGTAAACAAAATCCATTTTTTATTTGTATGGGTAATTGTTAAAGTTTTTTGCTTTTGAGATTGTTCAAATGCTTCTTAGCATATTGTTGATTTGTCTTGTCATTAGGTTTCGTCTTTGGTGATAGGTGCATTGGACAGGGTGGCCTTGAGAGTCAAGATTTTGGTGATGATTGCAACTTCATGATATATTTTCATTAGCAGTAGCTGGTATTTTTTATTTTGGATTTTTCATGCTGAACAGGTTCGTATGTGGATTTTTTTTCTTACAAATGTTGACTCTCTCACTGTTTTTTTATTAAATACTTGCAAGTAATATGCAATATTTAGAAATTGTTCTTCATAATAGGCAAAAATTGATTATGTTGTCGTTCTATGGAAAAATTTAGACTTTTAACACATTTCTGATATTAGTGTCATTCTTACAGTGCACAGGATGATCTTTCATTTACATTTGAATATTACTACTCTCAAATATTTATATAAGCAAAATAAACTTTCTTTTTTTGTGTAACCATTTTTTGTTAAAAACTGCACTTTCTGTAGGAGTATATATGGGGTATTTATTTATTATCCCAAATATTATAATGTAGTATTTTTATGGTAACTTATTTATCTCTAAAGCACCATTCTTCTATCACGAAATACTGGAGGTATCCAATCCCCGCTTGAGCGCAAGAAGACCCGCTCGAGCGGATCGCCTAAAAACTGAACAACAAGGAATTGAAACCAAGGCCTAACCAACCTGTAACAACCCTGCTCAAAA